TCCTCCTCCTCCTCCTCCTGCTGCTCCCTCGTCGTCCTCGTCGTCGTCCTCCTCCTCCTCCTCTTCCTCCTCCTCTCCCTTTCCCTTTCCCAATTATCCTTGAAGACGCTCACGAAGTCGTCCCGATCCGTGCGCGAGAGCTCGTTGCGGACGCCTGTCGTGCCCTCCCGGCCCCCGCGCCAAGCCACTGGCCTCCCCTCCCACGCCGGCTCCATGTCCGCCTCTTCCCTTCCCCCGCCCCCGTCCCTCCCCTGCCGATCCAGTCTCGCTCTCCTCCCATCGTCCGCCCGCCTGCCCCTCCACAATTACCCAACATAAGCACGCACTGCCCTCCTCCCTCCCTGGCAGACGGAGCGAGGATGGCGCGCCCCCCTCCGCGCACTGCTCTTGTTTTGCACCGGCTTGGTCCGAATTGGTCTTCTCGTATCCGTTCTCATGCGACCGTGCGTTCCCGCTGCAGCGTGGACCCCAATCTAGGACCTAGGTTTTGCTCCCGTCGTTCAGAACGGCGCTCTCGCACCAGCGCGGGCCTCTTCTCTGGATCCGAGTCCTTCCTCATCGTTGTCCTCCCCCTTTCCCCTCCTCCGCCGTCCCCAGGTCCTTCTGCTGCTCCCGCCCCCTCCACTCCAAATCCTGCTGCTGTTCGTCCGCGCCCTCCCTTCCTCATCCTCCTTTTCCTCCTCCTCATCCTCCCCCCTCCTCCTCTCTTCCTCCTCGTCCTCCTCCTCCTCCTACTCCTTCTCGTCTTCTTCATATCATTGAAATGCTTATTATTATGATGGTTAGTCGTATTCTTATCATACGTATGATGGTATCGATTACTACTGCTATTAAAAGTCGTATTACTAATACTACTACTACTACTACTACTACTACTACTACTACTACTACTACTACTACTACTACTACTACTACTACTACTACTACTACTACTACTACTACTACTACTACTACTACTACTACTACTACTAGTATTAACATTACTGCCAATATTATTCTTCTTCTTCTTATTATTATTATTATTAATGATAGTTATTATTAGTACAATCACTACTATCAGTATTAGTAGTAGTAGTATCAGTAGTATCATTGTGATTCGCATTATTAGTAATATCATTATTCTTCATATTCGTATTATTATTCTTACACGTATTATTATTCGTATTAGTCTTCTTATTATCATTCGTATTCGTATTAAAAATAATATTAATAATAGCATTATTAGTAGTATTATTATAAAAATAGTATTACTATTAT